GCAATTAGGGGTGGCACTTTAACTTTAAAAACACTTTAAACTTTAATTAAAGTTTAAAGTGCCACTTTAACTTTAACTTTTAAAGTAAAGTTAAAGTGCCACCCCTATTCATTTAAACATTTTATATGATTTGAATTTTCTTTGAATAGATCATGACTTCATTTATTGAATGCATTTTGTATTGTGTCCGAATTTTATCAATTGAGTTAATCAGACATTGATTCAAAAATTATAATTATTGACTAATTTTTCTTTCGTGCACGAATATTTAAATTAATATCGCTGAGAGTATATTTTTTTTTTCATTGAATTTTTATGCTGATTAGACAGAAAATTACTGTGAGCAAAAAAAACCGCAATGTGTAACTTCAACCTTAAAAATTAGTGATTCAAGTTATTTTCTAGAAGTATCTAATGACAGACAGGATTACTGAAATCTTCACAATATTTTTTAAACTCATGTTATGACCAAAAGTAAGAGATGACTAGACTAATACAATCTTTTATAAGACTCTTATTTTCTATGTATTGGAACAAAAATATAAGATTTTTAAGGAACACGAATTTCGCCTAATTTTATTCAAAATGGTGTTTCGCTATACATACGTAGAAGCTGCTTTGTTTAAAAAGCTTATGTCTCAGCCACAATATATTGAAAACAAGAATCTTTTCGATTTTATGCTAATCTAATAGCCTTCTTCTTTCATGTAATTTATGAACTTTAAAAATTGTAAGAATCTAGATGATCCTCTCGTTTCCTATATAATCATAGAAAATGATACGAATCTCAAGTATTTCACTTAAATATCACAGAAAATTTTTCCACAAAAGTGCTTTGATAATCATAAATATATCCTAATGATAATTGCAAAATACATTGTAAAGTGTTAATGTATTCAATGATAACAACGTACATGAATTTCATCAAGAGTAAATATTTGATATATTTTACGTATAAAACAAACATAATATAAACTCTTCATTTCCCTACTATTTCCATTTATTTAAATATATGGAATAAGCTCGTTATTGTTTTAACTATTTTTGAATACAATAACATTTTCTTTTAGAATCACACAAAAAGAAATAATAAATGAATAGCAGTTTCAAATATGAATAATCGATATTTAAATTCGCCAATCTATTCCATTTTCATCATTAGGTGTAGTTGCTGATCTGTTTCCCGATACATAATTTTGTTCATGTTGAAATGGTGGATTTCTCATTAATTGTTGTTGTCCAGCAGCACTCATTTGTTCATATACTTGAGGATCAATTTTAACAACTGGTAAACGAACAAGTTCAACTTCAATAACTGCACGTGGTTTGGAATAGGAAATAATAATATTATGTGGAGGTGGTGGTGTTTGAAGAGCTTCACGTGGTAACGAATGTTTAATAATTCTTTTTGGTGCAGGTTTATAAGGTAACCATTGTTCAACAATAATTGGACCTTTAAGAGAAATAAAAGAATTTAATTATAAAAAATAAAAACAAAAAATATACGTGGCTTAGGTGGCATATCAGGATAACGATGAATGATTATCTAAGAAAGGATTAAAAAAAATAATTTTTTCTTTATTTAGAATAAAATTTTGAAAAACAAAAAGTAACTTGTGGTGGTGGTTGTTTTGGTGGAGGAATATATTTGTTGTAAACAATTGGTTGACTTGATTCAGGTGGTGGAGGTGGTGGTGGTTGAGTTTTAATAGTTATTGGTGGAGGAGTTGGAGGTTGACGTTGACCAACAACATGAACATGAATTGGTGGTTTTTGTGTTGGTGGTTTGATTAGAACTTCTTGAACTTGAATTTCCATTGGTTGTGGAGTTGGTGGTTGTAATTGACGTAAATAAACTTTTTGTTTATATACTTGTTCCTGACTTTCACGTTCTTCATGAATTGGGTTTGGATCCAAATTCAATTCTGTTATTGAATCATCGAATCCAGTTGACTAAAGAAATAAAAACATCAATTTAACTTCAAAACTAAAAATTTTCCTTACACGTTGTGTTGATGAAGGATCTCTAAATTCATCATCACTGTTTTGACTTTGTTCACGTGATCGTTGTGCATCAGCTCGACTTTTAGCTTCAGTATCAAATGGATATCGTCGAAAAGCTGATATATTTTCGTAATCTGAATCTGTACTTGGCTTTGTACTAATTTTTACTTGAGCTTGTGATAAATCAACTTGTTCTCCAACGTTTTGTCCATGTTTAGTTAATACATCTGTAACATAATTTGTAATTGATTCTTTTTTATTAAGTCTTTGAGGTGATGTTTCACTATCGGTATCAGATGGTGAACGATCGGCAGTAGTGGCCCTTTTGGCCATTGTTTTCTGATATATATATATGCTGAAGGTTAGTAGTCGCCGCTTGTTTACTTGCAGTTATGTGAATAAAGACGTGTACAAATATATGTATCAGTCCTTGTTATGTATGGATGTAAACAGCCAATAGTAGAGACAGTGACACGTTGCTTTTTTTACCTTCAAATCATTGTCGATCATTAAAATTTTTCTTTCCTTTCGTACTTCTTGAGTGTGAATAATTGATAGAACCTGATCATTCATGCGTAAACCATAAATCAATTGTGAATACTGTTATTGATAAATAACGTCTGGATTTATTTCTTTTTTATTGCAAAAAGCTTACGTAGGCAAATGTTTATATTGAAAAAAATTAAATTTTTGTTTTTCAATACAATAACATTATTGATATGAATTTGTAAATATTTAAATCGCTGAAATGTTTAGTTTAATTGGAAGATTTACAGCATTCAATCCAATAAATTATAGAATAATATATTCTTACAACAACATATTTTATTGAATATTTATATAAAAATTCGACTTCACTCTCTCACCATGACAAAATATCAGCAAATCGAATTGACTATTGATTATATTTTCATAGCAATCAAAGACGACAAGCTTCTAGAGAATTCTAGAACATTTCAAAGCTCCCTCTCTCTCTCTCTCGAGATTTCAATTCCTAAAGTCCATTTATAAATGTTTTAAACAGTGCATTTTTTGACTATGTCGTGCAGATAAAAATAAACATCCATTTCTTTATGTAAACAGTAAATATTTATGGAGAATATAAATCATATATTTTATACAAAAAGGTATCAAGAAAGTATAGCAAAGGTTAAATAATAATCAATTACATAATTCTAATTGAGAATATAACGATGAAGTTTTCGAATGAAAAAAATTAGACACTGTAAATGAATAAACATTAAACAACTTTAATGAATCGAAAATGAATACTACCTGTTTTTTCTCTTCTAGTGTTTACAGAGCAGAAATCAATAAAATACATAATCTACAATTATCATTTAGAATATCTTACAGCTACACATATCTTTTTGTTTCATATTAGTTATTTCTCAGGTAACTGAACTTCATGAGGTTTCCAAGAGTACGACGAGAATCCTACGAATTTCAAAAATAAATGGAAATCCTCAGTATAGAGAATTCGTCGATTTTCTTATGCTGTAGGTACAATGGGTATGTACAACAGGTCTACTCAGTAGTTAAATTAATACTTTGAAGATCTTTTACTTAACATATATAAGTTCTACATTTCAGTCTCAAAAGAGTTGTGCTAATAAGCTTTTCTAACTTCATTCTCAGAATTGTCTTTATTAAAATCAGAATTTTTAAAATTCTCAAAAATATATTTATTACAAGTAAGACTAGACAGAATCTACTCATAGATTGAAGTAGCGCTTCCAAAAAAAAAACAACAATCCGTCAAACAAAATCTGAAAAACTTAGGAAAACTTCATATATCAAAAAATATTAGTCAACTGTTCCGAGAGAAAGTTTATCTGTCTTTTAGTCTTGATGTAATATCAATAAATAGACGATGATTTCTATTGAAACTTTTAATAATCGGTAAAATTTACCTTACTTTTCTGTTTGCTTCCAAAGACGATTCTGTAAATTCTGTTTCTCTGATAAGAAAAAGTATTGTTGAATGCACTGTTTTTTTTTTGTATTACTTCATAGTCAAAGATCAAAGTTGTCATAAATAATAAAAAAAGGATATCTTCATTCGAAGAAATTTACATTCAATATATCATAAAGACAGAATTCTTCTATTATGATTATAAAAATATGTAAACAATCCGAAATACAATAAATCTGCTTATTTATTTATAATTCTAGAAGTTTAATGTTGATACTATTTTGAGAAATCTCTATTCTATGATGAAAATATTTTACAAAAGAAATTTTTTTTTTTTTAATATAAAAATAACTGTAAAGGTTGCTTTGAACGAATAAAGGAAAGAACATGTGGTAAAATTTTGAAGATCAATGTTTCTCTGTTCAACAATAAAGGACATGTAAAAGATTGTTTTTCGTTCTCTTCTTTTTGTTGTTTGTCTTTGACGTGTAATCCAGTAGAGCTTCAATATGATTTCTTCAAAGTTGTACGAGCGAAAAAAAAAAAAGAAAAAACGAAACAGAACACACATCGAAAGAAAACCTTCTCATTGATTGGATATAAAGAAAAAAGAGAATTTTTTCTTAAAAAGTTGACAGTAAGTAAAACAAAAAAAAAAAAAACGCTTATTTGTGTATGATTATTTAAAAAATACTAATTTATGAAGAATTATCTATTTTCAAAGACTCGTTATATATTTCGATATAATAATGATGATGATTTTCCTTATTTTATATCAAGAATTACAATTACAAAATTTATTGTATTCGTTTTTTGTATTGTAATAACATTATTTATTATTTATTATTTATTATTTCATGAATTTCAACCAAAACCAAGATTAATATTTTTAAATAAAAATTCATCATATGAACGAAAAAATTCTTATATATATTCAATTATAGCTAATGAAAAGTTAATTCCACATTATAGAACTAAAATATTTGATAAAGCTCAATTACCAACAACATGTTTAGTTATTATTCGTACAGCAGATGGAGGTATTGGAAATCGTATGTTTTTATTTGCTAGTGCATATGGTTTTGCTCGTCTTCATCAATGTAATCTTTATGTTGCTCCATGGATAATAAGAGATCTTCGTTCAATATTTATTGTTAATTTAAATCATACACCTGTTCATTTAATAACAAATGATTCAGTTGTTAATCAAACTGATATATATGGACGATATAGTGCATGTACTTTATATAATGATTTATTAAAAGTTCCATTAAATTCAAATTTAACTCGATATGAAATGATTGGATTTTATCAAGCATTTGGATATTTTATTAAATATAAAGAAGAAATATCATATTTATATCAATTTAATCAAGGTGCAATTATAAGAAATGTTGCATTAGTTGAACAACTTCTTCAAGGTTTGCACATTTATTTGATAACTCACTAAATTCAACAGAACAAAAGAATAGACAAACAAAGTTAAATTAGATTATAACAATCTATTGAAGTCCGATCAGTGTATATCATATGAACCTTATTAAACTATGAATAACTTGATAAAAGTTTAAACTTTTAGATTATTGTTTCTGAGATACCGCATTTTTACGGCTTTTCAAATCAATATTCTGATCCCTTTCAAGAACACTAGAACAATTCGTTTTCTCATTTTCTTTTCTAAAATAAGGACACCAAATTAGCCAATATATAAAGAAAAAGTCTTTATTCTAATTGTATCTCAAGATGCGAACAACACAAATGATCTGAAATTTTTACAATAAACTATTCTATGTCAATTCAGTTTCCATGAAAAGTTTCAAATCTAAATCATAATAGATGGAAAGCTGAATTTTAATATTTTATCATTTATTAATGAAGAATCTTTCTGTTAAACATATATAATAAATTAACTTTTAAATTCCATATAAATTGATAGGGATAAGCATGTTTTTTCAATATGAATTCACTTTTTTTTAATTATTTTATTATAAAACAATGATTCATATCTTTAAAATTTTCATTATTCAATGTTCAGGATATCACATGGTTATCAATAAAAATCATAATTATACAGATTTCTAAGCATAAACGTGCAAGATTGAGAGTATAATATCAATATTTTTTCACTTGCAAAAGTAAAAATTTGATATTTTCAATATATAGATGAGTTATACATTAGAACAATTTATATTCAAAAAAATTCTTTCTTTTTAAGAAAAAATAAAATAAAATCTCTTTTTCATTTTTAGCTGTTTGGAATATTCCAATAAATCTCGGGAATTATACAAAAGATAATGTAACTCATTATTATTTAAAATCTCTATTAACTCGTCCACCAGCTCCATTAATAGCTGTAACATGGATTGGAATTCATATACGTCGTGGTGATTTTTTAACATTTTTTAAAATTGATACAAGTACGAAATATTTAAATTTTGCAATGAATTATTATCGTCGAAAATATATTAATTGTCGTTTTTTAATAGCTAGTGATGATAAAAATTATTCGAAAATACATCTAGGAAATAATTCTGATGTTTTTATAACTCCAATAATTTTTCATTCTGGAGAAGATTTAGCTGCATTAGCTTTATGTGAACATACAATTGTTACAGCAGGTAGTTTTGGTTGGTGGGCTGGATGGTTAGCTGGTGGAAATGTTATTCATGATTTAAATTATCCAGTATCATGGCAAAATTGTAAACGAGAAAATTATTTTCCACCTTGGTTTCTTTTTCCACATAATATTTCCAGTCAATCATAACAAAAAAAAAGTTACCAATTTCTAAGAAATTAAGATTTTGTTTAGTTTTTTGTTTTTTTTTTAAATAAAATATCTTGATAAAATTCTTGTGAAATATCTATTTTTGTTTTTATTTTTCTTGTCTTCGAGTAATAATGAATAATGAGAACGAAAAGAAAAATGGAGACAAAGCTAAGAATGACTACAAACAGACTACAAAATAAAAAGAGAAAAAAAAAAAAAAAAAGGCGAATATGTACAAACGCGCAACAAAGAGAAAAAAATTAAAAAAGAAAAAAAAATGTTAATTAAGTAGACGTTGCTGATGTCGATGGTGTATTTGTTTTGGATGCTGAATCAGGTGCTAATGTACGAATAAGACTTGCAGCCATTTCAAAAAATTCCATTACTTCTGATACAGATTCATCTGTTGACGATGTCATTGAATTATCATTATCTTCAAGGTCCCAATTTATTGTACGATTTGGCTCAAGATTTTCCATTTCATTATCATCACCAAGAGCTCCTACAAAAGAAAATAGATAAATAAAAAAAAACACAAAAGCAAAACAAACCAGATTGAGCAGAAAGTATTGGATGATGATCATCTGTATTTGCATTTAAATTACGAAAATCTAATAAATATGATCTATGATCAACTTGATATAATTGAAG